ATTTTATTATGGAAACAAAACTTTAAAACATTTGATAAATGTAAAAAGGTCTAATCATGCTTTAAACTGGTAACAACAATGAGGTAAACAAATCGCATTTAAGATTTACACACCTTTCAACTTGAAAAAGGAAAATATCTGACCTTTCTTCCCTGGATTGTTTTAGGACCACACAAAGAATTGTCCACCTTCCACAGCAATGTGTTTCTTCCACCTTGCGCCTCGGCTTCTTGTTTCAGTATCTGCTCCTTCAGCCAATTTAACTGACTTAATTTAACCTCCTGACTCAATTCTCCAACACTTAACACACGAAAATCACTTCTTCAAACATTCATATAACTTCTTCGTGACCCAAGGATCTCTTTTCTCACCTGGTGCCACAACTATTTAACACGTATTCCAGAAACTGCACACTTTAGATTCAAGGATTTCTTTACATCGACTTGCAATCTACTTCTTCCACAATTCTGCTAACAAGACTGGTAACTTTATCCACTTAACAATGCCGGCCTCCAACTCACGAACACACCGCCTGTCGAGACGCAACCTTTCTTTTCGATCACTCAAACATCACTGTCTTCTCGAACCAACAAAAACTCTATCAACCCTCGGTCTGTCGATTTCCCCTTCCAAAAAGATCGTCTCATCACAAAATCCAAATTTGTTTACCACACTTGTTGGAATGCTAATTACCGTTTTCAAGCAAGGAACTTTAATCTTTTAACAATGGTCATTTCCTTGTAAACAAATAATTTTTATACATTTCAAAGATTTTTGCCTTAGTCATAATAGAAGATTTATACAACACAATACCGGACTAATCCTTCAGGTAACAGCTTATTTTCTATAATGTACAAATGGTTTGTCAATAACTCGTTTAGAATGGCTTAGTTCTTTATAAGTCATAAAATTTCGGTACTAATCTATCTATTTTACAAATATACAACACTTTCTATCTAAAATTAATACATATTAGTCTTCAGATTTCTTAAAAACTTACTTCCGATGGATTCCTTAATTATTATAAGTTCCTCTCCGCGTTTTGTGAAGAAGACGTATATTAATATTATAAATATAGTATATATATATATATATATATATAAATATATATATTAGATATACATATATATATATATATATATATATGATATATATATATATAAATATATATATATATATAAATAATAATATATGATATTAATAAAATCGCACCTTGAAAACCTATGGCAATATTCTGCAAATTTTTTCGTGAAATGACCTTTGAATGCAGTCTAATAGAAAAACAAATCTACTTTTTAATGCTATATAGCAGCATCTACAACGAATTTTAAATTCGGCACCAAAAAGATACGTCCTTATGGCTTTTCTAAAAAATCGATTCTTTTTTATATACCATCAGGCATTATCTGCGGTTGTTGCTCTATGGTTCTAAAATAGGAACAAAAACTCAGATCTATCTGGCAATATTAGCAGTTAATACCAAATAAATGCAAATTGCCTTTAACTACTTTTATCTGTTGTTTTCATATTGTGAGTAAACAATCGTGTTTAATTTAGTTAAACGTAGTAAGAAGCAATTCAAGAACCATGAGCAGTAGAAGATTGAATTTTCTACAATTTTGTAGTATATTTTTCGTGTAATAAATGATGTTGGATTAACCCTTTGTCGACAGACTGTACTTAACAGTACCATAATGTTGCCAGGTCACATTTATAAAAGTGTCTACATTTGACTGAAAAAAATCACTAGAATGTCACTAGATTAAAAAAAAATAAATTTCTACGGACTAATATAATGTTAAATTTTCGCAATAATTTCAATTCAAAAGTTAAAGCCCTTAACGTAAATATCAATATAATATATAACAATAACAATAATTATTATGCAGAAGGAATTATTCCAAACAACCATAATTCAAATTTTATTTAATAAAATAAAGAACGGGACCGAAGTGCTCACATTATCTATTTGAAAATTTTTTTATATATATTAAATAAAATTACATAAAATTTTGCGAAGAAAAAGGTACGACATTCGGAAATTACACTACATTTGGGACCATGTTTAACACGGAATTTGATATAAGCTTCTTTAAGCCCAAAAAAACTGCTCGCTATGTGAAAGTTACAAAAATTTATTAGATACATTTGCATTGGAAGCAGCCTATAATACTCACCGTCAAGAAGTGGAACTTAGTAGAAAAGAGAAAGAAAATGAATCAAAACCTGCAAAATCCAACACTTGCATTACTGCTTGTTTTGACTTACAAGCCGTCCGACACCTTCAGGCGATGTCCCCTTATTTTATTATAAAAGGAGATTATCAACATTTAATTTTACAATTTTTGACATGACCACAAATGCAGGACACTGCTGCCTTTGTTTCGAAGGAATTGTTAATCGTGGTCGTGCAAATAGCGACGTGCGTGTTATTATTTCTGAGGAACCATGCCAGAGAACAGGAAATAATATTATATTCGAATAACTGCAGTGCGCAAAATAAGAATAAGTATATTGTCTGTCTTTATCTTTATGCAATACAGAAATTGAACATACCTAACATTACCCACAAATTTTTGATAACGGGTCACTCCCAAAATGAGGGAGAAACATGAATTCTTTGATTAAGAAAAAAAAGGGCGTTAAAAAGAAGAACAATTTATATGCCTTTCGCAATGCGTCACAGTAGTTCAAACTGCGAAAAAATCAGGTGAACCTTACAAAATTAATGAAATATCTACATCTGATATATTTTACTTTAAAAAATTATGTAAGGAAATGGGAAACAATTATAACATTAACGAAGAAGGAAATCAGCTCGTCTGGAATGAGATTAAAATGATCAAGGTGAAGAAGACACTTGAAAATAAGTTTCAGGTTAAGACAAGCTACCACGATACAGAGCTCAGAACTAGTACTATGAGGCGAAGACAACGAGGGTTGGTAGCTAATACGGAACTAAGTAAAGCATATCACATCCACCAGAAATATCCACTCTAAAAAAACAAGATGTGCTTTCACTATGTACGGATAATTTTATTCAAGAGCACTACCATAGGTTTTATGCAGTTTTACATGTAAACAATGGAACAGTAGAAACCGAACAAACAGATTACAATATGCATGACTTTGATTAAGTGTTAAAACCAAAAAATTTTAATTAATAGGTACAATCCTAAATTAAAAAACTTTTATTCGATATGAATTTTACTGCATCATTTTCCAAAATTATTATATTTTTTAAAACCATATGGCCGTATGTGCTAAACTACCTATTTCCTGAAGGAACTTCCACATACTTCTTACTGCATATAAAAATATTCAAAATTAAAGACAGTTATGGTAAATACCAGGTTTGTAGCTTAATTTTTGGAATTACAGTAAATAGTATTAACTTTAAAAAAAATTGAAACGCCCATAACTCAACATGATGATTTTTGCACTTACTGCCCTATGGTTTTCAAGGTGCGATATATATATATATATTATATATTATATATATATATATATTATATATATATATATATATATATATAATGACATTTTTCGTACGCCATTGGAAGACCTACAATAGCAATGAACCGTCACTATTACTTCCAAGAATTTACTGCCTAGATTTCTGGATTCTGACTATAGTTGGATCACTGTTGTCTCGGTGTTAATGTTGTAACAAGGGCGTGCGTCAGGGAATCGTACGTACATACTTAAATTTATTTATTTATATTTTATGATTAGAAGAATAACAAAGATAAAATCAAATTAATAAATGTTAGAATGAGGTTTTACAATAACACAATAATGTGAATTCGTTATTGTAATGTATTGAAATAATAAAGTTAACCTCTGTAAAAAATATTTAAAATTTAAAAGTAATATCTAAGAGCTTCTAGTTTAAACGGGGTTAATAATCGTAAATTGAGCGCATAATCATAGCCTATTTATTTTTTTAAGGAATACGAAGTTTCAGGGTAAAATCCTATGCAGAAAAATCAGATGCATTATACAGATCTAACTAATAATAATAAAAAAAACTCAAAGTACACATTGATATTTTACTCAGAATCAGTGTCTCACGTGCTGCGGCTCGTTAACTACGTTAAAATTATCACTGTATGATTTATCGGAATTACAACAAAAAATATGTAACATAAAACCTAATAGCGGCTTCCCACGATCGGAGATTCTACTGATCATCGCGCACAGCCGATGAGCACGGACGACAACTCACCGTAGGCAGAGCTCTTCCTATGGTTCGTGACAGTCTGTGTAGATCATTACTCTTGTTTTTTCTACCAGTTCCCATCGATTGTCTAACTTTGGTTTTTTGCCTTGTGTGTGTCGACATTAAATTGTCTCTCTTCTTTTTTAAGTCTTAATCGAAATAGTACTATTCTTCAATTGAGTTTTTTTATTCGGTTTTCTACATTGTATATATTGTTCCTGTTCTTATGCTCTAGCGCCGTAGAATTCCATAAACTTGGTTCATTTTGATACAAATTTAAAAAATCAAAAATACCTTCGTTTGCCCATTCGATTTTGTAGCAAAAAACTTAAAAACAAACTGGAAAACAACTTTGACAACACTACAGACAATTACTCCTGACAATGAACAACTTCTGACTTGCACTTGTCGTCTATTAAAACACAGACGTGCTCGGATCGCGTCGTGTGGGCATGTACCGTACCTTTGATGTTACCTACTCTCGATAGATACGACGCACCAGCACAGATGAACCTGTACTACCACAGACGCGAGATTTCCTACGGTGCGTGGGTGCGAACTGGTCCGCGTCCGTTTGCAATATCACCCATCGTGGGAAGCCGCTTTGAGAAGTGCCGTCTTCCTTTTTAATTGCCCATGAATCTTTAGCTTAGTGTTGTAGTAGTTTATACTAAAAGAAGGTTTTATTAATTTGTTTAGCTTAAATACATGCCAATAAAATTGCTTGAATTGCCTTGACTTTTTCAAAATTATACAGCTGCACAAATAAGTCCTTCGAACGTGTAAAAGTTTTATTTCAGTTTAGAAATTGACAACCATATACCACCCTCCATTGCCAGAATAAATCGTTGGGAAATGTATTGTACAGGAAGTTTGGTTCTTGTGTGCACGTCCACTTGAAAATTGTTAATAAATGTGATTAATGCTACTTTGGTTTGCATCAAACCAAGGCGAGCTCCTAAAAAAAATTATCAAATAAGAAAATGCGCAATGCACCTTAAGGTTGGATTTTGATCTGTTCTATCTATTTTTAATGTTTAGATTAAACGTTTCCATAAATAGCAATTGCACTACTAAAAAATATACGTCTAACAAAGCAAAATCATTAAACATTATGTTTAAATTGGATTAAGCCACAAATAATGGTAATGGTAATTATATTTTATACTTAATGAGTGTTGTTGATACCAGAGGGTTAACAAAAAGAACCACCAGACACAGATTCAGACACAGAAATACAATTCACAACCTCACACACATCACAAATGTCTATTACTATAGATGCACAGCAACCACAGTCAAAACAGGAACGGGGGCAGGTTCTGACAGAACTCTGAAAATCCTGAGGTGGCCATCAAACACAAATCACACCAATCATATAAAACATACAAGCATAAAAAACAAAATTATTACTTAGCCTTACACAAATCAAAAACATAGTACAATCACACTTTCAAGGCACATTACACACACAAACCAACACTACACCTACACAGACTACACCAACATCATCATCATCAATGGTGCTACAGCCCTATGAAAGAGCCTCGACCTTCCCAAGTCTATTACGCCAGGCAGTCCTATCCATTGCCAACCGTTGCCAGTTTGCTGCGCCTATCTTTCTACCATCCTCATCTACACCATCCTTCCATCTGAGTTTTGGCCTACCCCTTTTTCTGCTTCCCACGGGTTGTGACATAAGGATTCTTCTAGGAGGGTAGTTCTGCTGTGATCTTGCTAGATGTCCTGCCCATCTTAAGCTTCCTATTCTTATAAGAGATACTATGTCTTTACCACCAAATATTTGTTTATATCTGTGGTATACCTCGTAGTTGTATCTCCTCCTCCAAACACCATTTTCACAGATGCCACCAAATATTCCTCTCAGGATCCTTCGTTCAAATATAAGCAAAAGGTCTTCGTCTGCCTTGGAGATGGTCCATGTCTCCGATCCATATGTCAACACTGGCTGTATAAGGGTTTTGTATATAGTTATTTTTGTTTTTTGGCTTAAGTTTCTACTTCTCATATGTCTACTCAGTCCAAAATAGCATCTGTTTGCCATTACTATCCTTCGCTTGATTTCTTCCGTTATGGCGTTCTCTTTGGTGATCAGGGAGCCTAAGTATGTAAATTTGTCAACCACTTCAAAGGTAGAGTTATCAACCGTGAATTGGGGACCAATGTTCCTGGCTCTATTGTTGGGTGTTGATGCCATCATCTTAGTTTTCTCCTCATTTACTTGCAGGCCCATAGATTTTGAGGCATTTGAGAAGGTGGTATACATTTCTTCTAGCTTGCGTGTTGTGCGGGCAACTAGGTCCACATCATCCGCATATGCCAAAATTTGGGATGATTTATTAAAAATATTTCCTCTGTTGTCTATTCGGGCATCTCTGATCGCCTTTTCCAGTGTCTATGTTGAAAAGGAGACACGCCAGCGCTCCCTGTCGCGCCCAACATGCGTTCAAACGCCTGTGATTGTTCGCCCTGTATTTCGACTTTGCAAACCACATTACGCATTGTAGCCTTAATCAATCTTATCAGTTTATCGGGATGTGGAATTTATTCATTGCTTCATACAATTTATTTCTTAGGACACTATCGTAGGCAGATTTGAAGTCTACAAAAGATGGTATGTATCGGTATTAAATTCATTGGTTTTTTCCAGTATTTGCCTTAGCACAAAGATCTGATCTGTTGTTGATCGACCAGGCCTAAAGCCACTTTGATATTCCCCGAGAAGTTCCTCTGAATATGTACTTAGGCGACCATATATGATCCTCGAAAATATTTTGTATGCTGTATTAAGGAGGGTTATTCCCCTATAGTTTCTACATTCCAATTGGTCACCCTTTTTGTGTAGCGGGCAAACGATTCCAATACACCACTCTTCCGGGATTTGTTCCTCATTCCAGGCTCTCAGTATTATTTTATATATTTGATTAGTCACAGAAGCACCTCCACATTTGATAAGTTCCGCGGGTATACCATCACTTCCTGGAGATTTATTGTTACTTAGGTGTTTTTATTGCATCTCGTACTTCTTGAATTGACGGAGGTTCTAATGGTGAATTGTTGCTTGCTCCTCCGGGTGGTTGATTTGGATCTGGATCTTCTACTTCTATAGTAAGTAGTTCTTTAAAGTGTTCCACCCACCTTTTCAGTACTTCTTCTTTTGTATTTAGTATATGCCCTCCTTATCCTTACACCAACATATACTACTTCCAAAAAAGACACAACACACACACACACACAAACACACACAAATACTTCATCACACTAATTAAAAAAAAAAAATTTCCGGTACAAGAAAATTTTTTCCAAATCCAAATCCAAATCCTCAAAACCCATAATCTCTTCGGAGACATCCCTTTCTACCTAGGAAAGAATCACCCGAAAACCAGGCCATCCTCTATACGACAGGTCCCATTCCTAACATAAAAGAATGAGAAAAGAATCTGCAAGTCACCACAGATCACAGTCACATAACCGTATCCAAGCGCAAACCCGCAGAATACACAGACACAAACAACACAACATCAAAAACACTCTCCACGCCAAAGAAAACACAAATAAATACGTACACAGAACAACAAAATCCTATCCCATCCACATCCAAAGCATTTTCTTCTTATTACGATCCTAAATCTCACCTACACTTGACCAACATCATCATTCATACACACACTCATACGCACACGCACCACACTACAACAAACAACACCTACACAACCACAAACAACCACACACACCCACTAACACAAACACACAATAATCACCACACACGATCCAAAATTACAGAATCAAGGACATCCCGCAGACATCTGTCAGCAGAGATCATTCTATCGACTTATCGAAGACAACGATCTAATCCCAGATTTAGACCCAATAAAAGTCTTCGCAGCCAAAAGGTAGCTTCCGTACAAACTACTAAAATTTTAGACCTCGAAAATCTCACGTTCAAAACTACGACAAATCACTGGAGATAGCTATATGTATTTCCAGAAATTCAGCTGAGTTGATAACAACTCAACATAGTTGTTATCAACAGGTCTCGTAGACACTTCGTCTCAGGACCATTTACTCATGTAGAGTCATACGCCCCATACCATCCAACGTAACTTAAATCACAATTATAAATACTAATATGTAAACAACTTCAAATTAAAAATTTAGGTTTACCATATTTTGGTGGTACTAGCATTACACGTTTGCACTGATGATGATGTTTAATCCGTACGTTGAATGTGTTGTGATAGCCCGTTGGGGCATTTTATAACCTTTTAAACATTTAACACAAATATTTTTGTGATATATATGGTATAGCCAGCTACAGGAACTTAGTTCTCGTGAACTTCTTTCATTATGGTTTTCACATACTCTGAAACTAAATTCGCCAATGCACTTTCGAACGGTATTAAGATCGAGGCAGAACGATTGAAATGTGAGATTCCAAGATCATGCAATTCCGTTTCCGGTTCCACTAAAATACTGTTTCGAAATGTTGCAAATGCAGACATCTCAAAAACGAATTGCCCCGAAAAATCATTTATCTGTCCCTTCTGTGGACGAACAACATAGGTCTACTGCATGACCCACGATAGGTGATCCCAGATGTCTCAACTTTAATGGAGCCCTCCCCGGCATTTTCACAAAAATGCCCAAACTGAAGAATCCAACCAAAAGACACAAAAGAAACACAACCAGTAAACACTTAGAAAACAAATCCCCTCATGCGACCTATCCTCGGACATGAAATCCCTAATGCACTTTACGTCTATGATCCTTTTTAATGTCTTCACCGAAAAGAGTAGTAACATAATCCGCTATTTAAATCAATGTCCAATACATTGTATGGGTACACTATACGATTTGCTTAAAAATTTGTTTGTAGGTTCTTCTTAACGAAAAAAGCGATGGAAAAACGAAAGACGAAAACGAAAAAACGAAAAACTAAAAAAATTGGAAAAGAGTATATGGAAGAGCTCTTCGATCGACGAAAGAGGAAACCAAGACTTGTCTTTTGAGGACAGAGAAACAAGTGTAGAAATTACAAAGATCCACCAGACACGGAAAAAGCCCTGGGCCAGATCAACTGCCTATTGATATCCTTAAAATAATAGAGAATGAGTACATTGATGTCCTCTTACTTACTTACTTACTTAATCAGTAGACCCATTTGTACCTTTCGGTGTTGGGCCGTTTATAATACAATTCTTTATATTACAATATTTTATAATCTTCTGAGGTGTCCTAGCTCTTGACAAACTTTCTCCATTCCTTCCTATTGTATGCCATCTGTAGTTGCTTCCTGCCAAGTCTTACCCTTACTCTGCAGTATCTGCGAGATGTCACTGTTCCATTCTTTAATGGGTCTTCCTCTTCTGTTCTTCCCTATTGGTTTGGCGTCCCACACTCTTTTTACTTGTCTATTATTGTCCATCCGGGTTAGATGTCCGAACCATGCCAATTTTTTCTCCTTGATTGATTCGAGAATCGGTTTGATTTTTAGTCTTTCTCTTATTTCTTCATTTCTGATTCTATCAGTTCTTTTTACTCCGATCGTTCTTCTGAGGTATTTCATTTCTGCTGCCTGAATTCTGCTTTGATGCCTTTTGTTTAGTATCCAATTTTCTGCTCCATATGTCACTGTAGGTCTATATATTGTTTTGTATATTGTCATCTTGGTCTTTGTTGATATTTCTTTGTTATTAAGGAATCCTCTATTTAGTGCTTGGAATAGTTTTCCTGTGTTTTCCATTCTATTGTTAAGATCGTCCTCGATGTCTCCTTTGTTGTTGATTACTGTTCCTAAGTATTTGTATGAATTTGTCTGTATTATTTTTTGTTGGTCTATCATTATTTCTAGTTGATCTTCCGTCCCTTGTTTCCTTGATATTTTCATTATCTGAGTCTTCTCTTTGTTTACGTTTAAGTTGTATTTGCTTGCTTCTA